GTGGATAAAATGTGGGCTTTCTAATGAATTATAGTAAAAAATATAAAGTGATTGAGCAAGTACAAATAAGATACTTATTTGAAATTTTCATAGAATAAAATGATTGTAACTGTGGCATATACAACATCAGATTTAATTGTGGGACTGATCAGTTCAAATAAAATAGACTCTAGTAGTTTTATACTATGTGAGTTAAACAGAAAGAATATTAGTTTTTCTAAAGAATACTAGTTTGTTTTCTCGAAGAACTTCAAGTGCAATTCCTGATAAGTAGAGATGATTTAAATAGGCTCACCTGCATGGGTATGAATCCTGGTTTTTCCACTTATTAACTACAGGACTTTGGGAAATTACTTAATCTCTCTTTTCCTCAGTTTCCTCATCTGTAAAATGGACATATCTCATAGGAATTCAGTGAAGATTATTATTTTTTTTCAGTGAATATTAAATGAGAAAACATGTGAAACATTTAGTGCCTGGAAAATGTTCAGTGACTATTTGGGGAGCCCTCCCCCACCAAATTACAGAGTACTTTTTTCTTTTCCACTCAGAGGAATTATACATTTCGTCAAGACAGGTACAGATAGTAGAGGAGTTGAGATTATTACAAACATCTTCATGAAACTACAAAGATAAATTCCTCTGCTACAGAACAGGGACACTTCATGTGTAGATAATTATTAATTCTTTTCCAGCTTTAATATTACATATCTACTATTTGTAAGAACCAAATTAGGATGTTTTCAGACTCATGTTCTTCATAAAACAGAATTCAAGAAAGAACATACTCATTATGGGCTCACCTGTGGAAGAATCGGGCCGACTACTTGAATCCTCTGTTTAGAGCTGATCACAGCCAGACCCAGGGAAGCCTTCTTCTCCCCACAACACCATGCAACTTCATGTACAAGTACGTAAACTTCTGAGAATGCTCTAGTGATGGTATGAACTTGGATTCTGGTACTGTTTAACATTCTGCCACCAAAGTGTACGCAACACAGATGTTTGAGGTGTTTTGGACACAGAGGCATCTACACCAGAGGAAGATGTTTCTGATATGGTATTTGTGCTGGTGTCTAGGTATCTCTTCTCCTTCTTCATTCCCCCAAAAGTGGATTTTTTTTTTTTTTTTTTTTTTTTTTTTTGCCGTTTTTGGCCAGGGCCAGGTTTGAACCTGCCACCTCCAGTATATGGGGCCGGTGCCCTACTCCTTTGAGCCATAGCCCCCCCATGTGGAATTCTTTGCAGAAGTTGATTTATAATAATGATATCTCAAAAATGCAAGTTCTAATTTATTTTTTAAAAGCAAAAGAAAGAAAATAAACCAAATGCCTTATAAGCAAATGTGTAGTCACGAGTTTCAGTAAGGAGCGAGACATAGCTTACCTTTTGGTCTCTGCTGCATCAAGTCCTGGAGGGAATGTTTCCCTTATGAAAAAATCTTATTTTAAGATTGTATAAATTGAGATGGGGAGAGCAGTGTACCATCCTACAGGTTTACCAGGCATGAACTCCATATGTATATTTTATCCTTTGGCTTCCTCTTAGTCTGGTATGATATGAAAAATAACTCCGTGGTCAACAGAAGGACAAACACAGAGAATAAACTGAGAAACTACACTCCTCCTCCTTCTTACTCCCAATACACACTTAATGACTTCTTCCTCCACAAATTTCATTCCCCAACATGTTTTTGTTCTCATTTCAATCTAATTATTTCCCCAGAACTTTACAGCAGAATATTAATTGTCATACTAAAAAAAAATGCGACTATGGTTTGTGTAAAACATCAATCAGTTTTAAGAGCTGGTGAGACATAAATCAATTGTATTGAAAATAATTTATTCAATAATTAAGTAAATGAGGTGACTAGTGTAGTGTAAGCATTCCAATTGTATTTGAAATCAGCACATTGTACCCAATAAAATGCATTAATGTATAAAAAAATAATTTATTAATAGTCAGTCAACAAATATTTTATTGAGGATCAGGCACCACACTGTGGATAAAACAAGGGAGGCCCCCAGACGGTGCCCTCAGAGTGCTTTCCTAGAATAAAGAGTGGGTTTCAGGGTAAGTTTATAATAGCACCATTTCTTCCCATTTGCATTCCAATGTGCTTTATTGCATAGCATTTACTATAAATGCAAATGTTAGTTTTTTGTCCTTTGTGATAAAATAAAAGCTAAAAACTGTAAGTTTAAAAGACTGTGGTATTTTAAAAAATGGAGAAGACCTGAGGATGTGAATTTTCAGACTGTATTATGGTGGCATCTTAATGCTCTGCCATGCCTTCCAGGTTCTGGAGTGGAATGTATAACCGCTTTGAAAAGGGCATGCAGCCCCGCCAGTCGGTTACAGATTACCTGATGGCAGTGAAGGAGGAAACACAGCAGCTGGAGGAGGAACTAGAGGCCTTGGAAGAAGTAAGACGTTCTTGCCACGTTAGCCTCTTTTCTGTACTTATTTCTTTAAGAATGGCGCTCCATGAAAGCCTCTCGAGACTTGGTAGGTAAAATGTGGCAATTTAGCCATATTGTGTTTTTAGTCAGTGGAAAACCGAAACCACAAACCATCAAGGTGAGCACCCAGATCACTGAAGCCCAAAGCCTAGACATTTAAGCCATTTCAGGCATGCGGCTTACGGTTGCTTCCACAGTTTGCTGAATTAGTTGGCTGTTCCTACTAGTTCAATTGCTCCAAGTAGGTCAGTGTTTCCAGTTACTGTTATTTGAAAGTAATGAAATTCTTTCTGGAAAAGTGTGAACAACAGTGAAAGAATAATATCAGATACATGTACTTGTAGTAAAAAATCTATTTCTTCACTTTTAAGAAGTATACTATTAATTACACTTAATTAACAATATTAATCTATAAATGGTAACTAATACTTGGACAGGGAGGTTATACTTAAAGGTTTTTCCTAAGTGGGTAGCTTTGTTTCCAGGGATACTGCGCTAGGTTAGTTGACCACAGAACCCACTTGGATGCTTTGCTTCATTCCACTCACTCATCTTAAAATCTCCTACCATCATCATGTCCTTCAGGTGCTGAAGAACTGCCCTAAATTCCTATTACCTGGGGCCTGAATTCTAAGTTGAGAATCAATGTTTTAAAATGAGTTTAAAAAAAAAAAAGATCATATGCAGTGTAGGAAGAATGTCTTAGAATTAAAGCTGGGAAACTGTCTGCAGCTAAGGTACTTCATTATATATACATCACAAAGTAGAGATGTGACTATAGGATAACTTTCAAAAGATCGGCAAAATATCACCAGTTGAATTCTAAGTCCATCCTTGATGGAACTATGCAGGGGATAGTTACCTGCAGGTCACACTGAAAAGGACAGCCAGGGGGAGATGGTGCTTTTAGGGTTTAAGGTCCTTCACGATAGAGGTAATCATTTAGAGGTAGCTGGTGAGGTTGACTCTTCTCTTTCTCCCTTAATATTCTAGAAACTATCACCTTTCAAGGAAGATCTTATGTGTAGAGTTGCAAGCTCAAGTACATACTGAGGCCAGACAGATCAAACAAGATTCACAAACTTAAACTACTGGTTTTGAGAACTTTTGAACCTATGGGTAAACCTCACTCTAGTAATAAATCTGCCACATTCAAACAAAATATGTTTGGACCTATATGGACAGCTCTATTTTACATCATATTTTACATAATTTGTGTACTAACCCTGTTTGTGCATCAAAATCACCACCTCACAAGAAATCCTAGCACCTAGGCTCTAAGCTTAGAGATTCTGTTGGACAATTTTTAGAGTGCCACAGATGCCACCTTGAATTAAAGAATACATACAGAGAACTGGAATAAGTCACAAAGTAGGTTTTTTACAATGCTGGAGCCATAGTAGATGCATTCAAAGTCCCCTCATGTCATTATTGGACCACTTTTATTTATTCTTCCTAAAGACATCCAAACTTCATGAAAATGTTAGGATCCTATTAGTCTATTCTCGCATTCTTTTTGCTAAAATAATAATTAAAAAAAAAAAAGTTCTGAAAGTACCTTAATAAAAAAACTTTGGCTTTCATTCCTTGTAACAAAGTCAAAATTCCTTAGCCTAGCATTTTAAATTTACCCATAATCTAGTCTACTACATTTTTTGAACTTTGTTCTCCACTAATTCCCCTTGCTTAACATTTAAGTATTTCTGCTTAAATGGACACAATTCACACCTTCCTACCTTTGTGTTTTTCCCTCACTGTCCTCCCCAGCCAGAAATGCCTTTGAACCCTCCCCAGAACTGCAAAGTTAAGCACACTCCTGTTAAAACTGTTCCTTCCTTCCTGAAGCTTACTCTGCTCTTTTCCTTCTAGCCATTCTACCCTATCTCTCTTAAATAACTTTTGACTCTTCCACATTCCTACAGTGTATGAACTCTGCCTTTCTTTGCTGTAACACTTCCAGTGGTTCTTGGCTGGATCTGTGCTTAGTTGCTCACATTACCCAGCACGGACAGTGCTTCTGTGTGTAAATTATGTAATGCTTTTTGAATGAATACACACTTTCTGATCTTGAAACACCTCTTCTGCTGACATCAAAGGATGAAACCTTATAAAATATATTTTCAACAACTCAAATGTCTATGACCTGATGAATGGAGAAACAAAATATGATATGCTCATAATGGAACACTAGTCAGCCAGGAAAAGGAATGAGGTGCTGATACCTGCTAAGCACAGAGGGACCGGGGAGCATAAGCTACGTGAAAGAAGGCAGACAGGCACGGTGTGACTCCACTGATATGAAATGTCTGGACTGGGCAAATCCTTAGAGAGAGAAAGTTGAATAGTGCTTGCCAGAGATTGTGCAGAGGCCAGAATGGGGAACGAATGCCCCCAGTAAATATGAGGGGGTTACATGGGGGGGGATGATGAAAATGTTTTAGAATTTGTAGTGACGTTTGCACAACCTGTGAATATACTAAATTGTATACCTTAAAACTTATGGTAAATGAATTATTATCTCACCTTAAAAGTTAGATAATATCTCATTCTTGATTTTTAAAAAATGTTATTTTGAGTACATGGGATGAGAATCATTATATAAACGAGACAGGTATACAAAGGAGGGAGACCAGCAATTGCCCGATCCTTCACCTGTGTTATATTATTTACATTTATAGAAATCCTCTGTCAAGGCAGGTAATACCATCCTTACAAACTAAGAAAGCAAGCCTCACAGATTTTGTCTACAGTCATAAAGTCTAGGTTTGAAACCACATCTGAGTCCCATGTTCCTGACATTATACCCAGCTGGGAGATGATGAATATTGTGTATTAGAGGCATACATATTCATGTATGTAAAGAGATAAATTACTTATGATTTTCATTTAAAATTGTTATTTCTTTCTTAGAGGCTGGAAAAAATTCAGAAAGTCCAGTTAAATCACACTACAGTGAAGAGTAAGCAAAGTGAACCCAGCAGACATTCAGGGTTTTCTACCTCAGACAACAGCACAGCCAACACTCCCCAGGATTACAGCGGGAACATGAAGTCATTTCCATCCAGGAGCCCTTCTCAAGGTGATGAGGATTCTGCTCTGATTCTAACCCAAGACAATTTGAAAAGCTCAGATCCAGATCTGTCAGCCAACAGTGACCAAGAGTCCGGGGTGGAGGATTTGAGCTGTCGGTCTCCAAGTGGTGGTGAGCACGCTCCGAGCGAGGACAGCAGCAAGGACCGGGACTCCGACGAGGCTGTGTTTCTGACGGCTTAACGCTTCCCTTTGGAGTTCCAAAGTAAAGGATACACAAGAAACACTTCCAAAACGAAGGGAACGGTGCAATTAAAGAAAAAAACAAACAACAAACCTCAAGAAATGGTACATCTTATGGAGAATTATAAAATGCAACTATGAAAAGGGAAAAAAAAAGTCGTAGTTTCTTTAGATGTTGTAGACGAGGATGTAGCCATTTCTTTTATCAAATATGAAGAAAATTATTCTCCATTTTGAAACTCACTCTAGACTATGAAACTTGCTACTGCAGAGTGGTCACTTCTGTCATTACCTGAAGGTCTCAGTGCAAACCCTCCTTGTCAGAGCACGAGTCACCTCAAAACCTCCCAGGCCTCTCCCTCACACCTGTTATTATTTTCGATCTGTCCTTTTATTTCACTTCCACAATCATATTTTGTGTTCTCTAAAACATTTGACACTACCTTTGTTTCTGACCCTCTTATGAGTATTTCTAAAAACAGGGCACATTGTTGAGATGCATTTGGGGGGTTAATAGATATATTCCTAAGGAGCTTTGAGAAGCTTTGTAACTGCTTATCTTACAGGAATAATATTTACTTTTCCTTAGATAATATATTTTTAATTATAATAATATTGCTGCCTTTCTCTGGAATTTCTTCTTTTTCTCCCCCCATTTAAAAAATACTCACATTTTTTCTAACACTGGTCTAATACCTAACAAAACAGAAGCAACATTCGTTCCCCGAGTTTTACATATGAATTCAAATCCTATTAGCTTTCTTTATAACAACTCCTTTATTACTGCGGAGAGACTTAACAGTATGGGCCCCCACCAGCTGGATCCTGAAGGGGTAACCCTGTAAAGTTAGGAGGATAAAACATCAGTGAGGGAAAATCCCAGGTTAAGAGCTAGAGAATCTGGCTGTCATGTCAGGGAAGGAATGTTACCTGTTGTTTTAGAAATTATGTAACTAGTTAATGTGGTTTAATGAACGTTAGTTATACTGATGACCACTGACTGCTGAGAGTTCTGAAGAGTTTTTGTCAAGATGCACTGCCATGTTGGGACAGAGATAAATAACAGTCATAGTGTTTGGTTTTTAAATATTAGTACATCTGAGAATGTAAAGGGATTAATTTAAACTTAAATTTTTATAGTTTGCATCAATATTTTGAATATGTGAAAAATTTCAAGGAGAATGTACTAAATTTTGCTGAAATGAGAACAAGGAAAAGGGCAAGAAAGTGACACTGCTAAAATCTCTAGTATAAAAGATTTGAAGGGAGTGTAGCAATATAGATAAATGAAATAATGTAGTGTATGTTGTTTATCATATTTAAAAATAGAATAGCTATAAATATAAGAAACATGAATATAAAAGTACTCTGTTAATGTAAAAGACAAAGCAAGTGTAATTCTTTTAGAGTATAAATTTTGAGCATTCTCTGTTGAAAAGTTCCCAAAATAGTACTGGAATGTTTATTCATTTTCTGAAATACACTGTATGTAATAGGAAATATCTTGCTAATGGGAAACACTTAGGGTAGAGTGGTAATGGCTTTCTCATTTTTATAACGTGAGTCACTACAAGTCATTCTTATAATTATTCACTCTCAGAAACTTTGTTGCTTGATACTGAGAATGTGACTTTAATTTTTTCCATTTGCTAGTGTATGTCTACAAAAATAATTATTTAAAAAAAAATGACAAAGGATCTATGCCACACAGGGCTATGCATTTATTTTGAAAAGCAAATAGTATAAATATTTGATAACCTAAAATTTAATTTTTCAATGTGATGTCTTCTACATCAGAACCATGAACTTTTTCCAGTCCCTTCAACCTTTATAAGACATTATAATTTAAGTACATGTTCATTTAGTCTACTTCTATAAATTAATGTAACACTGAAATTTATATAAAAGGTTATATTTATTGCTTATCAAAACTTTACTGGGGTTTCAGAGTCCTAAAATCTCTAACAGTACCTTTTCCTTTTAAATCAAACATCAATCAGGAGGTGTTTTCCTTAGGGCAGTGGTTTATATTAGAGCATACGGAATAAGCCACTGTAAAATCGACTCAGGACTGTTACTTCCCAATTATTAATATTTAGAGCTCAAGATAAATATGATAGAAAATAGGTAAGATTTTTGATCCTAATTTAGCAAATCAATAATTGAACTTTTAAAAGAATTAGTTTACTTTCTTCTAAAAATGAATCTGAGCTGCCCTTCAATTTTAAGCACCTCTTGTGATCACACCTATTTTTCAAACAACTTTCAAACTCTTCTGATATACATTCTCTAGTCTTAACTTATTCCTAGAAATTCTTTCCAACTTTGAAGTAGAAATCTTTAATATACACCTCATGGACTTAGAACTTTCTATTTTGAGATACTAGCCTCTAAATCTCTGTCCATGACAAATCCTTACCCTGAATAGTCTAATGACTCTTAAGCTCTCCACTACGATGCGACTTCCATTAGTCTTCTATTATGCAGTACAGCCAGGATACTGCTTTGACCTGCATTTCTTTTTTCCTGTGGCATTGCCTCTCCAATATGGCCAATTTTTATGAAGAAAAATATAGCCATAAATTTGAAAAGCCAGCCACTTAATTTCTATTGTACAAGCAGAACCCAAATTCATAGAGACATATTCAAATGCACATTCTCTCCATCCTGGGTGACATATATAACCTACATCTGAACCAATGTGTCTGTCTGTTAAGTGCAGATAATTCTTTTATTTAATGACTGGGTCATAAGGAGGTTATCTAATAAACTAATTTTGAAGGATAACCCATTTTGAAGGATAAGTGGGATAATTCAAGTTCAAGGAATAAAAGGAATAAACAACACTGAGATGAATTACTCATGATTTTGTAGAAGACATTTACTCTATGGGTTTATTTTGTTCTTTTTTTTTTTTTTGGAGGAGAGGAAGGCAGATAAGCACCTAAACAATATCTGAGTTATCTTTGTATAATAGCTCTACAATGTCTTACTCTTAATAATTGCTTAATAAAATTGGTGGATTAAATGAACTAATTTTTTTTAGAGGGCGGCAGTGTGCTAGTCTCTTGTTCTAGGATATACCTGATTTCTTAAGAAAGCTACCTGATTGTTTGCAAAAGATTGGGATTATTACATCTTTGACTTCGGTGACTACTGGGAAAATTTAGCTCTGATGACTAGTGCATTAAGGGGAAGTTTTCTGAATACCTAAAAGTCTGTTTACAAATTTGAAATACAAATTTTACCTCAGTTTTCTCTTCTATAAATTAGAAATAATAATTATATTTTCTTCATCTGGTCATTTTAATGATTAATCAGTATACCCTTAGCACAGTGTCAGGAAGACAATAAGTTATTTTCTGTATCCGACGTTGTATCTTTTTTTTTTTTTAAGTTTTTGGCCAGGGCTGGGTTTGACCCAGCCACCTCTGGCATATGGGACCAGCACCCTACCCTTTTGAGCCACAGGCACCACCCCCAACATTGTATCTTTATAGTCTATGTGAATACTTGCTTTCTACAAACACAGACTAAACTATTAAGCATTTTTCAATTGTAAGAAAATAATTTTGCTATTTCTAAAAGTCTATTGCCATAACATGTAGAGAAAGAACAAAAAAGAAGGAAGGAAAATCTGTACTATATGCTGGTGTTATGATGACAGTCACATTGGGAAGACATTTAAATGAAAATATGTATTATTTTGTTTTGTAATTTAGATACTACCTTACCAAGCTTGAGATACATAGTACACTTAGGGTTACTCATGAAATGTGTTCATTCTATGACATGATATAGAAACAAATTGTTAAATACAGTACAGATTAGAGAGAAAATACAAATTCATTAAAATCTAGGATTGTCTAAATATTAAACATTAATTTTACTTATTTTTTTTTTTTTGAGACAGAGCCTCAAGCTGTCCCCCTGGGTAGAGTGCCGTGGCATTACAGCTCATAGCAACCTCCAACTCCTGGGCTCAAGCGAGTCTCCTGCCTCTGCCTCCCAAGTAGCTGGGACCACAGGCGCCCGCCACAACGCCCGGCTATTTTTTGGTTGCAGCCATCATTGTTGTTTGGCAGGTCTGGACTGGGGATTTGAACCCGCCACCTTAGGTGTACGTGGCTGGCGCCTTAGCTGGTTGAGCTATAGGCGCCGAGCCATTAATTTTACTTATTAATATAACTTTGCTCTTAGGAAAAGCTAACTCACAGTAAGGGACAGAAAAAATTGTTGACTTTTTTGTGTCTAGATTTACTATT